ACAAAATATTTACAACATTATTAATTATATTCCCTGAACTGTCTTTCATATCCCTGTGGCAATATTGTAGCTAATTATTTATGCTGTCTAATCCCTTCCCTTTCTCCCTCATCCCCACCCCCCTCCCAAATAGCAACCATCAGTTTTTCCTCTATATCTGAGACTATTTATGTTTACTTTGGTTGTTCATTCAGTTCTTTCGATTCCACATATAAGTGAGATCATATCGTATTTGTCTTACTCCGACTGACTTATTTCACTTAACATAATGTTCTCTAGGTCCATCCATATCGTTGCAAATGGTATGATTTCATTCTTCTTTAAAGCGGAGTAATACTCCATTTTATAAATGTAAACACAGTTTCTTAATCCAGTCATCTACCGATGGGCATTTTGGTTGTTTCCAAGTCTTGGCTATTGTGAATAGAGCTGCGATAAACATAGGGGTATATATATTTTTTGAATTAGCGTCTTGGGATTCTCTGGATAGGTACCCAAGAGTGGAATTGCTGGGACATATGGTAGTTCCATTTCCAGTGTTTTGAGATACCTCCATACTGATTTCCATAATGGCTGCACCAATCTGCAGTCCCACCAACAGTGCACCAGGGTTCCCTTTTCTCTACAACCTTGCCAGCACTTGTTTTTTGTTGATTTATTGATGATCGCCATTCTGACTGGAGTGAGGTAGTATCTCATTGTGGTTTTTATTTGCATTTCTCTAATGATCAGTGAGGTTGCACATTTTTTCATATGCCTGTTGGCCATCTGTATGTCCTCTTTAGAGAAATGCCTCTTCCTATCCTCTGCCCATTTTTTAATTCAGTTGTTTGGGTTTTTTTTGGTGTTGAGTTGAATGAGTGTTTTATAAATTTTGGATATAAACCCCTTAACAGCCCCTTAACAGATATATCCTTGGCAACTATCTTCTCTCATTCAGTAGACTACCTTTTTGTTTTCTTGATGATTTCCTTTGCTGTGAAAAAACTTTTAAACTTGATGTAATCCCATGTTTATTTTTTCTTTTATTTCCCTTGCCCAAGGGGATATATCAGTAAAAATATTACTAAGGGTAATGTCTGCAAATTACTCCTTACGTTTTCTTCTAGGAGTTTTATGGTTTCAGGTCTTACATTTAAGTTTTAATCCATTTTGAATTTGTTCTCATATATGCTGTAAGAAGGTGGTCCATTTTCATTTTTTTTGCATGTGTCAGTCCAATTTTCCCAGCATCATTTATTAAATAGACTACTATCTTTACTCCAATTTAAATTCTTGCTTGAATTGTCATAGATTAAATGACCATATATGGATGGGTTTATTTCTGGGCTCTCTATTCTGTTCCGTTGATCTATGTGTCTATTTTTATATCAATACCATGTTGTTTTGACTATTATACCCTTATAGTATGATTTTATGTCAGGTAGCATCATACCTCCCAATTTGTTCTTATTTCTCAAGATTGCCATAGCTATTAGGGGTCTTTCATGGTTCCATATAAATTTTAGGATTATATGTTCTATTTCTGAGAAAACTGTCTTTAATAGTTTGATAGGAATTGCATTGAATCTATATATTACCTTGGGTAGTATGGAAATTCTAACTATATTAATTCTTCCTATCCATGAACATGGTATGTTTTTCCATTTATTTGTATCTTATTTGATTTCTCTCTTCAGTGTCTTATGATTTTCTGAGTAGAGATCTTTTACTTCTTTGATTAAATTTATTCCTAGATATTTTATTGTTTTTAAAGCAATTGTAAATGAGACTGATTTCATGATTTCTTTTTCTGATAGCATATTATTGGTGTATACAACTGTAACTGATTTCTGAATATTAATTTTGTATCCTGCTAACCTTACTAAATTCACTTATCAGTTCTAACAGTTTTTTGGTGGAGTCTTTAGGGTTCTCTATGTATAGTATTATGTCATCTACATATAATGACAATTTTACTTACTCTTTTCCAATTTGGATACCTTTTATTTCATGTTTTTGTCTAATTTCTGTGGCTAGAACTTCCAGAGTTATGATGAACAGAAGTGGTGAAAGTGGGCAGCCTTGTCTTGCTCCTCATCTTAAGGGGAAAGCTTTTAGCCTTTCCACATTGAGTAAGATGTTGCTGTGGGCTTATCATATACGGCCTTTATTATGTTGATATGATCCCTATATTCCCACTTTGCTAAGAGTTTTTATCGTAAATTTTTGCTGGATTTTGTCAAATGCTTTTTCTGCACCTATTGATATGATCATATGATTTTTATTTTTCATTTTGTTCATGTTTTGTATTACGTTAATTGATTTGCGGATATTGAACCAGCTTTGCATACCAGGAATGAATCCCACTTGATCCTGGTGTATGATGTTTTTAAAATATTGCTTAATTTGGTTAGCTAGTATTGTGTTGATTTTTGCATCCATGTTCATTAGGCATAACGGCCTATGGTTTTCTTCTTTTGTAATATATTTGTCTGATTTTGGGATCAGAGTAATAGTGGCCTCATAAAATGTACTTGGGAGCCTTTCTTCCTTCTGTATTTTTTGAAATAGTTTGAGGAAAATAGGTATTAATTCTTTTTTGAATGTTTTGTAAAATTCGCCTGTGAAGCCATCTGGGCTAGGACTTTTGTTTGTTGGAAGCTTGTTGATTACTGACTCAATTTCTTTGGTAGTAATCAGTCTGTTCAGAGTTTCTGTTTCTCCTTGGTTCAGACTTGGTAGATTGTATGCTTCTAGAAATTTATCCATTTCTTCCAGATTGTCGAATTTGTTGGCATGTAGTTGCTTGTAGTATTTTATTACAATTTCCTGTATTTCTGTGGTATCTGTTTTCACTTCTCCTCTCTCATTTCTGATTTTATTAATTTGGGTCCTCTCTCTTTTTCTTTTTGAGTCTGGCTAAGGGTTTGTCGATTTTGTTTATCTTTTCAAAAAATGAACGCTTGGTTTCATTGATTTTTGTATTGTTTTTTAGTGACTATTTCATTTATTTCTGCTCTGATCATTATTATTTCCTTCCTTGTACTCCCTTTGGGCTTGTTTTGCTGTTCTTTTTCCAGTTCCCTTAGGTGTGAAGATAGTCTATTGATTTGAGATTGTTCTTGTTTCTTTAGATAGGCCTGCATTGCTATGAATTTTCCTCTTAGGACTGCTTTCACTGCATCTCAGAGATTTTGGGTCGTGGTGTTTTCATTTTCATTTGTCTTGAAGTATGTTTTGATATCCTCCTTGATCTCATTTTTGACCCACTCGCTATTTAGTAGCATGTTATTCAGCCTCTATACATTTGTGTGCTTTCCGGATTTCTTCTTATAATTGATTTCTAGTGTCATAGCATTGTGGTCGGAGAAGACACTTGATATGATTTCAATATTCTTAAATTTATTGAAACTTGTTTTTTGGACTAACATGTGGTCTATCTTGGAAAATGTTCCATGTACACTTGAGAAGAATGTATGTTCTGTTGCTTTGGGGTGAAATGCTCTAAAAATATTGATTAAGTCCAGCTGGTCTAAAGTGTCATTTATGGCCACTCTTTCCATGTTGATTTTCTGTCTGGAGGATCTGTCTATTGGTGACAACAGGGTGTTGAAGTCCCCTACTACGATAGTGTTACTGTTCATCTCTATCTTTATGTCTGTCAATATCTGTTTTGTATATTTAGGAGATCCTATGATGGGTGCATAGATGTTTACAAGGGTTATGTCCTCTTGTTGAATTGATCCCTTTATTATTATGTAGTGTCCTTTGTCTTTTATAATAGTCTTCATTTTATTTTATTTTTACTTTTTTAGATTTTTTTAACTGGGGAGTTGGGGGAGGGAAACAGCATTGGGGAATCAGAGATGGGGAATAGACAAGCTGCTGTCTTTTTGTTCTTCAGTCTAATTGTGGAGGATGTCACTTCACTAGTCCATGTTGGTATTATCATTGCGCTCTTCCCGGCTGAGGCAATCTGTCACCGGCCAAAAGATGGCCCCTCATGGTGGCTCACTGCAGCTCACAAAAGTGCACGCCATCTGCCGGCCAGGCCCACTGCAGCCTACACCATCACGGGCAACCCATGGCAGCCCAGCTCCAGGTCAAGGTGTTTTCCACCATCTTAGCTGTAGAGGGCGCAGCGTCAATAGCCCTAAATATGGGATCGGAACCGGGGCCCTGCTACTCAGAGCTGGCATCCCAAGCCAAATGTTTACCAATGTGCCACTCGGCTGGCCCTGTAGTCTTCATTTTAACGTCTATTTTGTCCAAACTAAGTATTGCTACTCCAGTTTTATTCTCATTTCCATTTGTGTAAAATATCTAATTCCATCCCTTTAGTTTCAGTCTGTCTGTGCCTTTTGATGTGAAATGAGTCTCTTGTAAACAGCATATGCATGGGTACTGTTTTCTTATCCACTCAGCCACTCTACATATTTTGATTGGAGAATTTAGCCCATTCATATTTAAAGTGATTATTGACAGATACATATTTATTTCTATTTTGTTATTTGTATTTCTGGTCTTCCTTGGTTAGCTTGTTTTCTCCTTTCTTCTGTTTCAAAAAGCCCTTTTAACATTTCCTGCAATGCTGTCTTAGTGGTAATGAATGCATTAAGCTTATTCCTTTCTGAGAACCTCTTTATCTCTCCTTCAATTTTAAGTGATAGCCTTGCTGGGTAGAGCAATCTTGGTTGTAGGCCTTTATTTTGTGTCACTCTGAATATTTCCTGCCACTCCCTTCTGGCCTGCAGAGTTTGTGTAGAAAAGTCAGCAGTTAGTCGTATAGGAGTTCCTTTGTATGTAATCTGCTGTCTTTCTCTTGCTGCTTTTAGGATTCTGTCTTTGTCTTTAACTTTTGCCATTTTTACTATGATGTGTCTTGGTGTGGACCTGTTTGGGTCTATGTGTTTCTGTTTGTCTTGCTCACCTGTTCCTTTCAGTTGTGGGAAATAAATAACTTTTATATACAGAGATGACACCAATCATGAAACGAGACTGTAAGAATATTACATTACCTGTCTGTGAGAGGCTGGGAGGGCATCCTTTTACTCAATGATGGGAGATCCAGAGAATCTGGTTTCTTATCCATTCTGCAACATGCTTGGATATTTAGGTATTTAAATATGTGTACTTTACCCTTTAAACATATCTGTCAATAAATAATGAATATTTAATCATATAGGTCCAAATATAAATGCCATCTACCAATTTATACATTTTAATAATTTTATATTATGTTGAGACATCACAATCATGATTGACACATTGCATATCTAAATAATTTGTGGGTGGTGAGAACAGTAAAAAAAATTATCCATGTAATTCTTTAAAGTAATCTGATGAGAACCACTAAGTTGTTTGGTCTAAACACTGGAAAAAATTGAATTGAAAGAATTTTAGTGTAGGAAAATTGAATTTGTTGAAAGGTGTGATGTTAGGCCAATAAGGGTAAAATAATTTTTAAAAATGATAAATTCAACTAAGATAATATCCTGAAAAGTTATTTTCATTGGTGATATAGAAAAGGAATAATGAAGGGTAAAATACCATGTGGAAGAACGTATTCTCTATAAAAAAGATAGTCAATGAGCAGTAAGGAAATAAGTCAGTTTCACAAAGGTTAACTACTATCACCATAAATGATATCAAATAAATATTTCTCAAAACTTATAATAAAAATATTTTGTTTTATGGGCTCACATAACCTAGCAACACATGCAAAAATTAATTAACAAAGAAAAAAGAAAAGTACGTTAGTAATTACCATTCCAGGTATAAAGGGAAAATATTTCTTAGATAATTCTAATAGATACCATACCTAACTTGACCAATTGAAAAATTTCATTTGAAAGACAAATTAAAATTTTGAGCTATTAAGATATAAATACATTACCAGTTATGAGTCATATTACCAATTAAAATGTATCCTATTATCTGTCCAAACTAAAAAATTATTGCATTACTAAATTAAATGCTGATGATTTTCTTTTGTAAATTTAATTTTTTCGTAGTAATTCATGTACATAGTTTTAAGTCATAGAAAATTATAAAACTGATAGCAAATAATCAATCCCCTATTCCACCCCTTTCAATCACTAAGACCCAGGCCTTCATTCAACTCTTTTAGCTGGTTTTCTGCTATTTACCTTCATATTTATAAATAACATGGTTCTATTGCTTTTATTTTTCACACATAGATTTTATTTATTAAGGTCTTACTAAGGAAGAAGAGGACTTAGATTTCTTACATTGCCACCACTTTCACATATCAACACTACCATCATCACCATCCTCCCATCTCCAAACCCCATAAACTCACATAAACATACTTCCTCCCTCTCCGGAAACATAGGATAGCGGTTACAGCATAAACTTGAGTCAGATTGCCTTGATTTGAAACTGGCTTTACCACATACAAGCCATGTGACCTTTGACAAGTCATTGAAATTCTATGCTTGTTTCCTCATATATAAAATGAGGTATAATTACAGTGCCTGTTTTATAGGGTTAATGTAAGAAATGATTTAATGCATGCAAAGTATTTTCAATAGTGCCGGGAGTACAGTAAGTGCCATATAAATCTTTACTATTATTATAATTATGTCACAATTTTTCATTAAATCAAAATCCAGTATTTACAGTATCATGACTAAGAAAATATTCACAGAATAACCACATAGGTTAGTTCATTCCCTTTCTTGTATAAGTTTTTCTTTTTTCTAAAGTGACTACCCCATCTTTTCCTTTGAATAATTTTCTGTATGTTTATTACTAATTAACTCCTGACTCTCTGATAGAACTGTAAAACTATCTCCATATTGACAAATACATCAAATCAACCATCAGTTTCTTTCTTCTTTCTTTTTTTTCTTTTTGGAGACAACTCCCCCTACTCCAAACGATGGTTGCTCTCTAGGCCTATGCATACCTGTCAATGTTGGACATGAAAAATTCCTCCTTCTTAATTTACTCTCTCATTTCAATATAGCACAACCTCTTCTAGCTAATAAAGGGTACAAAAGAGTTAAAATTTATGAGACCCTACATGTTTGAAACGGTCTTTTTTTCTACCTCACACTTGACTGACAGCTTGAGTATAGAAAGATGGAAATGTTGCCTCAGTCCCTGAAGGTATGGTTCTAACATCTTTGAGTTTCCTGTGCTGCTGCTGAATAGTCATTCTGATTACCACTCCTGTGAATGTGACCCATTTTGTTTCAGTGGGAGCCTTTCAGTGTTTTGGTCTCTTGTCTTTCATATTAGAGATTATTCCTGCAAATGTCTAGTGATCCATGACTGTCTGTTCATTTTTAAGAGTGAAGCAGTAAGAAGTCAAAGAGAATCTCTGTACATAAGAGGGAAGTTTACAAATGGTGAGCCTCACTGTCCAGTGATTTTACAAATGGTGAGCCTCACTGTCTAGTGATCAAACTGGGACTGGCCATTACATCAGGAGACCCTTCCAAAAATCAGTGTGTGTGTGTGTGTGTGTGTGTGTGTGTGTGTGTATGTGTGTTTCTCTAGTTCAATCAGTCAACCAAGGGAGAAATCCACCAATCCTGCCTGAGATAAATAAGGTGGACTAAAAGCATTCTGAGAGCCAAGCAAGACAAGTCTACCTGAGAGTCCCAACACTCAGTATGTAAGCATTCACTGTTTTCAGTATGGGGTCTCACTCTTGCCCATAGTGGTACCTGGGGCCCCTGACTCTGGTTTTCAGTCTCTCTACAATTGTGCTATTCAATATGGTAACTACTAGCCACATGTGGCTATTTAAATTTAAATTCATTACATCTAAATAAAACTAAAAATTCAAATCTTCAGTCACACTATACGCTTTCAAGTGCTCAATAGCCACTTGTGGCTACCATATTGGACAGTGCAGATACAGAACGTTTCCATCACCTCCAAAAGTTCTAATGAACACTACTGCTCTAAAGAGTAAATGCCAGGCTTCTGCTGAGGCAAGAGGTGATAGTCATTTGGCTGCTGAGCTGAGGGAGAGAATCTGAGAGAATCTACTTACTCCTCAGAGTAAACCCCAGACTTCTGCTAATGCAAATAAGGAGCAGTCATGTGGCTGTGGAGCTAAGGGCAAGAATCCACGGTGTAAATCTTAGACCTGTAGTGTCCAATATGGGAGCCAGTAATCACATGAAACTAATTAAATTTCAATGAATCAAAATAAAATTAAATTAAAATTTTGGTTACTTAGTCGTACTAGCCATATTTTGAGTACTCAGTAGCCACATGTGGCAGTGGCTATGGTATTAGACAGCACAGATTATAGAACATTCCCATTAAAGGGGTGGCAGAGTTTGCCATCCCAAAATATGCCTTTTGGAGATATTATTTTAAAGCAGTTATTTTTAAGAACAAAAGGCTCAAAAAGAGCCTTTTACCTCCCCCTTATCTGCCGAAAAGAATTCAGATAGAAAAGCCTGCTCTGGGAAGAAAAACATCCTTAGCATAGTATGAAGTAAATGTGCCAGAGAGGAACTCCCCTCTGTGTCTGGGTAGCCGAGCAAGAATTTGTTTACCATGTATGCTCCTTTTCATCTACCTGTTAATTGCCTACCTTCCCTTTGAAGTCCAATCCATTACCCCTCTCTGTTTAAGAGGGCATATAAGTCTCAACTGCTAGATTTGTCCGGCATCCCATATTCTTACAGAACCTCCATATGTACATACATAATAAATTTGGCTATTTTCTCCTATTAGTCTGTCTCATGTCAATTTGATTATTAGACCAGAAAGAAGAACTTAGAAGGGTAGAGGAAAATTATTTTCCCTCCCCGACACCATCATTCAGAAACTGGACAGCAGTGCCTTAGACATCCTATCAACCTTCATGGTTTCAATCTTTCTTCCCTATATTCAGAGGTATATGCTTTCTTCAATAATCAACAACAACAAAAAAATATATACAAGCCATTCCCAGGCTTAACACAGTAAATCAATTTGTTTCTTGTTGCCTTTTCCCATAGCAGAAATAAGTTTCAGCTTTCCCTGTCCTCCTAAGGATCCCTGACAGCCTTTATCTGAATCAGGAAAGGCACCTCCATTGGAATGAGTGCAACGTACCTTTGTAGGAGGAAAAGTGCAAACCTTCTCCTGAATGTATACAAACCCTGTGTCAGGGCACATAGCTTGGAAGTTAGAGTATAGACTGGAGTTTCACTGCTACGTGCCTCCTCAGCCAAATACTTCTTTTAAAATTAGTTTCAGGTATACAAAACAATATAATAGACAGTTATATCCCCCACAAAAATAACACCCCCCCCAAATCTACTACCCATCTGACATCGTATATAGCTATTACAATTCCATTGACTCTATTCCCTAAGCTGTACTTTACATCCTGTGACCATATATACATATTAAATTATAGTTGACATTCATTATTATTCAGCTTCAGCTTCAGGTGTACACCGCAGTGGTCAGGCATCTACACCGTCCATGAAGTGGTCTCCCTCAGTCAGATACTCTTATGCAGTATAAGTAGAGACCCTGGTTACCACTAGTCCATCTATTTCCCATTCTCCAAAATTCTGTTGCCATTTCTCCCGTTATCTTCTTCTCTCTCATTCTTTGTCCTTATCGGTTTATATCTTAGTGTATTCATTTAATATAAATTCAGTAGCTTCCACATGAATTTAATCCTCAAACTAAAAGTCTGAATTAATATTTTTACACTTATCTTTCTGTTACGATTCCATCTATCAGTGCTAAGATACAGCGGTTCTCAAGCTGTGGCTCACAACCCCTTTAGGGGTCGAACGACCCTTTCACAGGGGTCGCCTAAGACCATCGGAAAACAAAAAGATATTTACATTACGATTCTTAACAGTAGCAAAATTACAGTTATAGAGTAGCAACAAAAATAATTTTATGGTTGGGGGTCACCACAACATGACCAACTATATTAAGGGGTTGCGGCATTAGGAAGGTTGAGAACCGCTGGCTAAGAATGTACTTCAATCACACAACAAATCTAAAGTATGTGTGTTTGTGTGTGTATCTATATCTATCTATCTATCTATCTATCTATCTATCTATCTATCTATCTACCTAAGTAGGACAGAGGTAGAGAGACTCCATAGTTTATCCTTTTAAAATAACATTGACAACCAGAATTATCAGTTCACAAGCAGAAAATTGATATCTGGGTTTTCTAAATCCTATTCTCTAGAAGCTAAGCTAAAACTCCTACCAAAAGCTAAAACTCTTACCAAAGTAAAAAGGCCCTTTCTCAGAAAAACTCCTTTAGATGATACCTCAATAACAAATTAACTCCTAGTTTTGATGCATTTTTTATTTACCAGTAACAGATATAATTCGGAAGAAAAACAGAAGAAACAAGTATCATATTTTTATTACAAACCTGTGCTGGTGGTACCTGCAATGGATTATTATCCAAAATCATTACTTGTAAATGATGCAGCTTCCTGTAACAAACTGGAATTTCGGTCACTTTATTACAAGAGAAGTCCAGCTTGACTAAGGGAAGATCTCCTAATTCTGTTCAGAAATGAAAAATAATTAAATTAAATTTTACACAGTTACTCTTTCATTCATGTCAGTAAACACAGTGAGCATCTTACCATCTGGCAACACATGAAGATTATTTCTTCTGATGTTTAGCTCTCTAAGTGAATGTAATTTTCCCATTTGTTGAGGAAGGACCTGAATCTCATTGCAGCTAATATCCTAAGGAAGACAAGAAAATAAAATTATAACAAACTAACTTAGAAATACAGATATAATTCAATTCTTTTTTTTTAAAGATTTTTATTGGGTAATTGGGGGGATGGGAACAGTGCTGGGGAATTAGGGGAAGGGGAACAGACAAGTTGCTGTCGTTTTGTTCTTCAATCTAGTTGTGGAGGACGCTGCTTCACTGGCCCAAGTTGGCACCATCATTGTGCTCTTCCCGGGTGAGGCAGATCAGTCGCCGGCTTCTGGACGGCCGCTCACTGTGGCTGCTTGGCCGCTCACTGTGGCTGCTTGGCCGCTCACGCTGGCTGCTGGCTACACACGGTAGCCCATGGCAACCGACTGCCACAGGGGCTGCAGCCTTCGCCGTCGCCGTCGCCAGCGACTCACGGCAGCCCAGCTCCAGGTTGAGCTGTTGTTCAGCATCTTAGCTGTAGAGGGCAGCGTCACTGGCCCTCATATGTGGGATCCGAACCGGGGCCCTCTGGCGTCCCAAGCCAGTTCTTAACCATCGCGCCACTCGGCCGGCCCTATAATTCAATTCTTAAAGTGCATAGCTAATAGCTAACAAAAGTTACCTTTAATGTTGTTTCTCTAAAGATGGATTACCTCAAATATTTCTATTTATATTACATCATGAGTCAACCTAATACAGTTAACAAATTTTTCTGTGCAAAAATTTGAGGTTATAACTTTGTACTACATAAGTCTACAATCTGAAAATCACAATGAAGACCACTCTCATCAACTAAAACCAAAAGGATTCAAGTGCTCTTCATTCAGAGGTAAAATAAAAGACAACTATCAATCACTCTGATAATCTGCCAATTATAGTAGTTGTTTTGAGATACTTGGACAGAAGCTGAGAAAAGTCCAGGATTTATACATGAGCGGAAAAACTAAAGACTATGGCCAGGATCAATTTAACTAATAAGCCTCTACCTCAAAAGGATGCAAAATATGAGGGGTTACAAGCACAAAGTTTTGTGGCTCACAACCCAAAGACATTCTAGAAGATCTGAATCAGAAATGTCTCAGGGTGAAGTTAAAATGCAAGCCCTGAGTTAAAGGTAAACAATGCCATATTTCTATAAAAAGAGGATAAAGAACAGCTTGAGTTAATTATGCTCATCTCTCCCTCCCCTTTCTTATTATTGAATCAACAAAAAAGGAAGAAAAAACTGCAACAAGATCTCAGCACTCATTCCATACACACTGCAAATTAAATTCATGTTCCACTGCAATGGACCCCAATGTCCAAATTTCACTGCAAATTATGTTAGCTTAGAGGGCCAGGAGTGGCACATATATTCAGTCTTATCAAAAGTAAAAAAGTCAGGGAGGTAAATTCAAAAGAATATTAAAGAATATCTAATCATCTGATATACAGATGATTCGAAAAATGTATCCCACATATTTCAAATTACTCGTATATCTAAGGCATCTTCATTCAACAACTTTGGAGGTTCAGAACAAGCCACCCCAAGATGCGGCTCAGTGGTATGTGGATTATTTTGAGCTAAAGGCAACCGAGACACTGTGGGATTAAGAGGAACTTCTGTCCCCCCACCTCAACTTTCTATAAGAATTTAAATTAGGAGGCTGGGCCATGGTAAGAGTTATCACCAGAAATTACTTTTTACCTATCTATATGGCAGGGCAAACTAATAATTACTGAACACATGCTCTCCCTGCAGTGACCCTCTGAAGCCCTAAGGTTCATTACTTCATCCGTAGCTCAGAATATCTTATATACCCATGTTCCCTTTCTGTCTCTAAATCTCTTGTGTATGTGAGGTCTGTGACTCTTTCATGTATATGGGAGGCCCCCGTACATATCTGTGTATTAAATGTGGTTATTTTCTCTTGCTAACCTGTTTCATGTTTATTTGATTATTAGACCAGCCAGGAGAACTTTAAGGGTAGAGGAAAGTTTCTCCCTCCCCCACAGGACACATTAAGGAATAAAACAAAAATCCCTGCTCTCACAGCTTTCTATGGAGCTTACATTCTAGCAAGGGGGGGGTAGATTATATAACATGTTAGACGGTGTTATGTGCTATTAAAACACACACATACACACAACACAGAATAAAGGAAAATGGCAGTGCTACTAGTAGTATTGGAGAGGAATGTTAGCAATTTAGGTTGTCTCATGGAGAAGTTGTTATTTGAGTAGTGTTGTCAGAGCTCAGAGTGTAAGCCATGCCAATATATAGAAAGGAATATTCCAGACAGAAGGAACAATAAATGTAAAGCTCTTAGGTAAAGCATGCCTGACATGTATTAAGAACAGCAAGGAATCCAGCGTAACTAGAGGGTAGCAAGCAATGGGAAGACTAAGATGGGGAGGGGTATGATTGGCTTTTACTCAGAGAGATGTGGGCAGGAACCAGAAACTTTTAAACAGAGGTATGGCATGACCTGACTTACGCTTTCACAGGAGCAAGTTAGCTACTATGTTGACAATAGACTATTATCCAAAAGACAGATAATAACATTTTGAGAAAATGCCCTTTAAATACTTTATTGCTTTTTCCCAAATGCATCTAATACTGAAGATTTCCATATAGAAAACCCATAGCAATTTGATAAATAGCTGCTATTTTCAAGAAGAAAAAACCTAGGCACAGGAAACTGACCCACTCAACAAAAGGGTACTCTACAAAGCACTCTATTGGGGATTGGAGTTCTGAGAGTATTTACTAGGCTTCTAATGACAGAATTTCACTGCAGTTGGTTACCACATTCTTGTAGAACAGTGTCATAGGAAAATATTCCAATGACAAATAACATCACAAATTCACTATGTGATTTCCAATTGGTAATTAGCCATCCTAATGCTATGTATCCACTATTACTGATTTCAAGAGTTTAACACACAATAATTTTATACTGCCTAGTAAAATAATGGTATTTAATATTTTAAAAATATTCTATTTAAATAAAAATACTAGAATAAATCTAAAACTCCTAAATATTTTTGAAACTTCACTTATCCAAAAACTATCTCATGCAATATAATTTAGAACATAGGTCCAAAAACTGAATGAAAAAAAAGAAGAAAAAGAAATTACAAAGTCATAGAATTTAAAAGTATAACAGATATAAATTCTTTAAAAATGTTAAGTGACCAGGTAATAGAAAGTAAAGGCTCTTTCATTATAAATTTGTTAGATCACATCTAAAATCTTGTGTTCATTCCCTGGTGCACTGTTGGTGGGACTGCAGACTGGTGCAGCCACTATGGAAATCAGTATGGAGGTATCTCAACAAACTGGAAATGGAACTACCATATGACCCAGCAATTCCACTCTTAGGTATCTATCCAGAGAAACCCAAGACACTAATTTGAAAAAATATATGCACCTTATGTACATTGTAGCACTATTTACAATAGCCAAGACTTGGAAATAGCCGAAATGCCCATCGGTAGATGACTGGATTAAGAAACTATGGTACATTTACACAATGGAGTATTACTCAGCTATAAAGAAGGAAATCGTACCATTTGCAATGATATGGATGGACCTAGAGACCATTATGCTAAGTGAAATAAGCCAGTCATAGAAAGACAAATACCATATGATCTCACTTATATATGGAATCTAAAGAACTGAGTAAACAAGTAATGTAAACAGAAATAGTCTCAGAGACACAGAGGAAAAACTGATGATTGCTAGATGGGATGGGGGTGGGGATGAGGGAGAATAGGAAGGGATGAGACAACACCAATTGGTAACTACAAGATTGCCTCAGGGATAGAAAAGACAGTTTGGGGAATATAATCAATAATGTTATAAATATTTTTTAGGGGGCCAGATGGTCTCATGTCGTGTTAGGGAGACCACTTCATGGATGGTGTAGAGGCCTGACCACTGCAGTATACATCTGAAGCTTCACTTGAATAATATTATATGTCAACTATAATTTAATACATACATAGTCATGGGATGTGGAGTATAGTGTGGGAATGGAGTCAACGAAATTGTAATAGATATGTATGACATCGGGGGCGGGAGGGCAGTGGATGGGGGGAGGGGAGTTGTCACTTTGTGAGGGATAAAAAGGATAACTATTGCATTGTTTTGTACACCTGAAACTAATAATGATAATAAAAATAAAATAAACTAAAAAAAAGAAAATACATAAAAAATATCTTCTGTTCATTGGTGAGTGTAACATTAAAAGAGACCTTAATAAACGAGAACATTTTCAGGACAGAAATTGCTAAAAATAGAAAGTAATAAAGAGTAGAAAACATAGAAAGGAATAAAAGTAATAAATATGTTAAAGCTACAGAAAAACATGTCTTAGAGTTTCGTAAAATGGAGAGTAGACACACGATAGATGAAAACATCTGAAAGGAAGTTTTCATTATCTATACTTTTTCACATGGTAGTCCCAGGGCCACTGGATAAAAGTGATAGAGGCATGTATTTTAGTTCAAAATAAAAAGGATAACAAATAGGAGTTTTGCAAAAGAGAATTAGAGCTACTTCAGACACACACATTAAAAGATTTAACCACCATAGAAAATATACAGCTAAGTGTGTCAGGGGCTCATGATTTAGAAGTGCTTCTATCTGATAACTTACAACCTTAAAATTCTATGGTTCTAAAACATAACAAGACTAAGTTCAAGGAGGTTTCCTTGTGTGATAATTCCACATGTAGGTATTCTTTAATGAATAAAATAAAGACATTCTTAAAATTTCTGTTCATTAAATTCTATTTGCATATTAACTCCCCAATATAAAATTGTAGATAAATTTCTCCTCAAGAAAAGTTTTGGTCCTCTACATATAGCAAAGTATGTAAGAATACTTTTAAATATCTGTGCATTAGGAAAACATCACTTAAGATAAAACAAAATAAAAACAAACACCATGATATATTGTGTGACGTGGAAGTAACTGAAAGATGTAAAAATAGCTCAATGCTTTGAGGATCTGATTATGTTTCTCTCAGAATTCAGTGTCCTTCAATGCTTAAAATGCTATGTTCAAAGTAATTACTTTAAATTATTCCTATAGTCCTACAATCAATTGTATGTAATGGCCTCTTTCCATTTCTCTTGGTCCCAAAAGTGTTATAAAATCACATTGAGTATACAGGAGAGGAAGGGTTACTTTGTGCATTCTATTGTTTGCAGTCATTGTACTCTTCTTCTTTTATTCCCTGTCTCTGAGGCTTTCATAGTAGCCCTGTAAAACCTTTAAAAGAAACTTACATTTTCCTAGTAGGACCTTCACTTTCCATAAAATGGATACACAAATGCTTATTTGTTTGAAAAGCATTTCTTAAGACTTGTAAGCAAGCCTGACATCACTAGGACTAAGGAACAGCCAGGCCTTTATTGTGGCTGTGAGTTAAAATCAGACATAAGCAATGGTATCTCAAAATTTTCCTAAAGTGAACTTAGGCATATATCAACTTATTCTTTTAAAAAAATTATAGTGAAATTACATAAAAAATGGGTAATCTTCCAAAATATAAAAACATATTATGCATATTATATACAATCAATACAACTATTTTACTCACCAATTCCATTAAATCTTTTAACTTCCCAATTTCTTCTGGAATGGATACCAGTTTATTATTACTGATGACCAAAACTTTAAGGGGAAGCTCAAATAAGTATTTTGGCAATGTTGATAAAAGATTTCGACTGAAAAGAATAAGAAAGTCTCATTATGAGAAATATGTCTGAAACCTGACATTTTATGCTGAAAAAGAACAAATCACCTCAAAATTAAAAAGAAAACTTTGACTAAATAATAGCTATCATTTAACAAGTGCTTACTTTGTATCAAGATAAAACCTTCACTGGATCTTAGCCAAAAAGCCGAGAAGCGATCAAGCTAAATTCTTTACAAATACTATCTCATTTCATCCTCATATTAACCCCACAAGATAGGTAGTGTTATTAGCTCCATTATACAAATAAGAAAACAACTGGTTAAGTGACCAGCCCAGGCACAGCAAACTACAAAGCCTGTACTGTTACCTATGATATTGTTCTACACACCACCAGTTCTCAAAACCCAGAATCATTCTTCTGAGCTAGAGAATGCCAGAACCTGGCTCTCTGCTCTAATTTCACTATAGTCAATAGCTCCATGCCTCTAACTCGGGAAAGGCTCTAAGGATAAATTCGCATGCACTATGTTCAAATTTATGAAAGAATGAATAGGATCATATCTTTAAAAGCATGTAATAACCCTAATGCATTCCCTTTTGTTACAGGTTTCTGGTAGAACAGCCTACTAGCAGCTTTATCTCAGCTCAAAGTTGATACAACAGTCCTATCTCTGTAGATACATGTAAATACAACAACAATTAACATTTCTTAAGTGCTTACTATGTGCCAGGCATGTTCAGAGCACCTAACATGAATTAACTTAACTAACATTCACAACAACCTACTCTAAGAAGATAGATACTATCTTGATGCCCATTTCACAGATGAAGAAACAGTAAAAAAGATATTAAGTAAACTGCTCAAAGTCACACAGCTGTTAAGTGAGGGAATCAGCATTCAAAACCACGCAATTTGGCTCTGGGTCCCTTACTCTTAAACAACTGTGGTCAAATTTATATGCCAATACAGACTGATGCTATAGACAAATGTTTGTGTCCTCCACAACAATTACAATGTTGAAACTTAATCCCTAAGGTGATGATATCAGGTAGGACCCCTGAGAGATGATTAGATCATCAGGGCAGAGCCCTCATGAATGGGATTAGTCCCTTATAAAAGAGGCCCCAGAGAGCTCCCTTGCCCCTTCTGCCATGTGAGGACACAGCTAAAAGACAGCCATTTATGAATCAGGAAGTGGGTCCTCACCAGACACTAAATTTGCCAGGGTCTTGATCTTGGACTTCTCAGCCTCCAGAACTGTGAGAAATAAATTTCTGTTGATTATAAGCCACTCAGTCTACGGACGGTATTGTGTTATAGCAGCCCAAATGGACTAAGATAATCCTAAAACCAAAATAAATAAAGTCTACCATTACATTTACATACTATATCAAGTGTCCATCAGCAATGAGCTATTATTTTTCTTGTTTTTCAAAAGTGATATTTATAGACCTGTGTGTACCTATCATTTTGTAAAACAGGCACAGCAAAGCCCCAGTGTTACCCCAAGGGAGATTTCAAGACATTTCACCCCATTTTATGCCTGCAAAGGACATCCAGAAACACTAGACTGGCTTTAGATCTGGCACAGACTTTGAGAAAAATAAGACAATGTTCCTAGACCAAGAACCCTGGCGAGTCCTGAAAAATCATCTTACAAGTTCCTCAAGATATTTAACCAAAATAAAAAAATAAAATAAATGGGGGAAATAATGGCACATACAAACACATTCTAATCTCCCTCAGACCAAAAAAAATTAAAAATCGGCTTATTTTCTTCCCTTAAGAAGTAGGTTCATTGAATGAGTACAGTCAGCTTTCTCCAGAATTTGATTTTTTATACATAGCTAGTAAGTTATTAATCCTTACATATTTTGCCACATGTTTTAGAGATAGTCAAAGGAAGTCAGTCACTAGAACAAGTCTTATTTCAATATAGTTTTTTCAAAAATTGTTGTGACTGTAAACAAAAATCAGAAGTTAACTTTTGGAGATAAAAACAGGAAAGAATCAGAAAGTTTTAATAAAAGGCATACCTCATTTTATTGTGCTTCACATTATTGCACTTCACAGGTATTACATTTTTTATATACTGAAGGCAAGACCTTACACCAGCAAAAAGATTACAACTCGATTAATTGTGATACCCGCTTTATTAGTGATCTGGAACTGAACCCACAATAGCGTTGAGGTATGCCTGTATTTTAAGATATTCCATACATGTTAATATACAAATATAATTCAATTTTGGACAAATCACTTTTTTCCATAAAAGAACAAAATGAAACAAACTTAAAAATACCTCACTTTCCTCAAATCTCTCCCAAGCCAGGCCAAGGAGATATGTAAGCAATTAGAGAAAGGAGAAACCCAAATGACTGCCATCTAATGAAGGAAATTCCTCTCACATATTTTAAGGTGTAAAATGGTTTCAGTTAAAATAGGATGTACTGCCAGGTGGCACCACTGGGGAAGACATACATAAGAATTAATATATCACAGAAAGCAAGGAGAATTATTACTTACGTATATTATTTATATTCACTCCTTTACTATATGGGAATTTAAACAGGTAACTTTTGCAGCCATACTGCTTTGATTATCATCTTGGCTCTCTCTCTATATATATATATATATATGATTTTCAGCAAATAGTTAACGTTTCTGTGCTTCAGTTTCCTCATTTGTAATGCAGGGATAATAAAAGTACATATCTCAGAAGGCTGTTGTGAAGATGAGGTAATATATGTAAAGTATCTGTAACACTGCCTGGCATATAGTAAGCACTTATTTAGTATTACCATCAACTGTCATCCACTTCCTAATGTTCCAACACTCCCACCCCAATCTATCCAATCCATCCATCCTTGGGGTAGCAACAAAAAGTCACAAGAGTGTGAAAATATAACTCAAGAGCTGTTTCTTTTTAATGTTTCACTTTAACTGAAGATGAACATAAATAAATCTGTATTGTGGTACTATGATTTCAGTAAAATATTTCTGATGTGAAGCCTTGCTATTCAAAATGATTTAAGGACAAGCAGGCATGGGCATTACCAGGGGGCTTGTTAGAAATGCAGGCCGCACTGCAGACCTATGGATTGAGATTCTGCATTTTAATCCCCAGATGATTCCTGTGCACATTAGTTTGAGAAGCACTGCTCTCAAGAACAAGACCAAAGGCCTATAAAATAGTATGGACATATAAAAACTACACAAAAGATACTATTAAGATAAATATAGGTGACATAGCCAAATCAAACACATTCCTTTCCTACTAAAACAGATTAGAACTATAATAAAAATTTTTACCCCCCAAAATTCCTCCTTACCTAATGTTAAGGTATGTTAACATCTGCAGGTTTTTAATGGCTTCGGGAATGGTTTTGATGCAGTTATGATATAAATTCAATGTTTCAAGAGGTGCAAATAACCAGACATCAGAAGGAATTTCTGTAAAACGATTTCTTGAAAGATCTGAAAAACAAATGTAATGTTTGAGTGTTCAACATACACTTATATCTATCATAATAAACAGAACTATTTTCATACTCGCTGCATCACTTAGAATCCAAGCAACTATTTAAAATATTATTCACCATGACCTTGAAGGTAAAAAATATATAGATAAATACAATCATGGAAAATCTGCTTACTAACACATTGTACTTGTTATACTTTAATATCTTTAAATTTTATCTTTTCAAATACCAATAAGGAATTATCGCTGATCTTTAAAAATATTTTTTAAAAAAACCTGTCCTGATCTCATATTCTCCTCCATGTACCTCTTCCTCATTCACAGCCAAATTTACATAAATCTACAACACAACCAAATTTCTTACTTACCATGGAATTCTCAACCCATTGCAGTTAGGTTTCCAGTCACTCTCATATCCACCAAAGTCAGCAACGGCCTCCATATCAATAACCACGCATCCACCTGGAAACACTTCTCTTCTGTTTACACTTCTGGATCACTTCCTATTATCTCTCTGGCTACTTCTTACTCTTTTGCTATATTCTCCTCTACCCATATTAAGAATGTTGGTGTTCCTAAGGGCTATGATATGCGGTACTCTTTCCTTCTTAAGATACTCTGCTGGGTGATTTCATCCAATCCCAGGGGTAATTTATATTCCTACACTGACAAATTTCTATTTAAAGATATGTCTGAACACCTAAGTTCTGATCATCAGGACTTCTTCTTGATATCTCTCAGGCACTTCAAAGTCTACAAGTGTAAAATCTGAACTGAAGATTATATTCCACACATCTGTTTCTCTCATCTCAGATAATGTCACCAACATCCTCCTGGTGAGTTGCTCAAGTCAGAAACTTGGCATTCATCCTTGATTCCTTCCTCTCAAAAAATGTTCCAAGTACACACAAATATACTTCCATTCACTGAATTTTTCACAAAAATCATTATAACCATTACACCTCTATTAAAGGTTTATTTGTTAAATGAAATTTTGAAAAATATTTAGCACATATCATGTGGCAGCTTGAAAAAAAAAACCTTAAAAGAGTTTCTCAACCAAAACACTATTGACTTTTTGGGCTATATTACTATTTGCTGTATGGGGCTCTCCTGGGCATTGTAGAATATTTGGCAGCATCCCTGGCATCAAGCTACTAGATTCCAGTAACATCCTCTAGTGATGGTAGCCAAAATATGTCCCCTGGAATGGAAATTCCCCTGTCTCTGTTGAGAACCACTGCCTAAAGGATTATCAAACTAGTAGCTACATTATCATAGTAATGTACTTAGGCTGACAATAGTTCATTATACAATACTTATTTGGTTAAAAACACAAGATTATTACTTACATCTGTTAGCAAGAACATCTAGGGTATAGCTTAGCCCACAGTACCTCATATAGTATCTGGTATGTCCTAATAAGAACAGTCTCCTACAAATGCTCAACTTCCTCACTCTGAGGGATGAGTCCCATTTACTTAGCTATATAGTAAATTCCTTACTTAGAACATTAATATATAAGTATTAAAATATGTTTTATATATATGTATACACATACACAAATACACACTCATATAATGTAAAATTTTATAAATGGCAAAAGAAAATATTAGTTATGATTATATAATATGAAAATTAATTTGGATTCTTCTTCCTTATACCATAAGATTCTGAATAACTAAATAAAATGATAGACAGAATTATAAGAAACCAAAATCTGAATTTGTAATAGAAGTTTCTCAATATCCTTTCTTACCTCCTCTAAATACCCAAGCATCATGCAGTTGTATTAAGGGGGGGAAATTAAGTCATTCTTTTTTTTTTTTAGCTTAGGATGTTTCTTTTACATTTGGGGTTTTGACTCTTAGTCTTGTAAATTCAGAATCCTGTGAGTTAAAAATTACTGCTTACAGTGAATTTGCAATCCTAAAAAAAAATTATGTCCAGGCCGGCTGAGAGGCTCAGTTGGTTAAGAGCTCGCTCAAGAGTTTGAGCTCTGAGCAACAGCAGTTCGAGTCCAGCCCAAGCTGAGCAGCCGCTGAGCTGCCAACAGGTAGCAGGATGGCTCAGCTAAAAAAAAAAATTATGTCCAGTTTGTTATTCTGTATAATATCTAGTATTAAGTAGCCATAACTATCACAATGGTTCTTGAGATAGATGATGGTAGCTTGAATTAAGACAGCAAGAATAGGGATAAAAGGCCAATATGGGGAAATCCAAGATGGCGGAGTACATAAACACTGTGCTTCCCACATACTGTGAACACATCAAAATTACAACCAAATTATAGAACAATCAACCCAGAGAACCATCTGAAGTATAGTTGAACAGAAGGTTTATAACTAAAGATATAAAGAAGAAGCTACACGGAGACTGGTAGGAGGGGCAGAGACACAAAATGGACTGGCCTCAAACCTCCATGTGGTTGTTGAAAATTGGGAGGGATGTCTTGGCCATGGAGGTTACCCCCAGAAAAGTGAGGGACCCCAGTCTAATACCAGGCTCCCCAGCCCAGAGTACTGATGCTAGGAAAAGAAGCCCCCACAATATCTGGCTGTGAAAAACAGTGGGGATTCCGACCCTCTGGGTAAAAGGGAAGGTTGCGGTTAACCCAGACATCCTCTTAAAAGGGTTTCACACAGACTTACTCAATTGCAGGCACTCACCCTGAGCTCCAACACAGGGATAATGACTCGGGAGTGACAGAGACATACAGGGGAAGACTGAGTTGTCTGGCTTTGTGGTGAGGACTGGAGAGATAGTTGCCATTTTCCCTGTGTGAGGTCCTTCTCCTATGCAGCCGCCAGGCAGGTGCCATCTTTTCTGTATTGAGCCCCTCCCCTATGCCCATGGTCAATTCTTAACCTAAATTGGTCTGGTGAGGTCCACTTGCTGCACTCTGGTGACTCACTGAGACCTGCCATACCCAACTGCTTACCCCAAAAGGCTTCATCAGCAGCAGAACCTTATAGGATCCAGTAGCTAGTAGCAGGCCTCAAAATGTCCTGACTTTTTATGGAGCTACCCCAGACCCAGAACTGGTGGGAGCCAATCTCAGTTGACAGTGTGGCCTCTCCCATGCACCTCCAGATCCAACACAGGCAGTGATCAACCATGTATCGCTTTGTAGCTCCTACCACACAGTTGCCAGCCAGTCATAGGCAGTGGCTGAGCTTAGGCTGCACTGAAGCCCCAGAATCAACACAGTTGGAGGTTGACCTCAGATCACAGCACAGGACCATCTAATTAGTCCCACAAGTGACACGCCTGAAGGGCAGTCTCAACAGGCACCAGAGCCAGCTGGGGCTAATCCCACTCAGTGGGGTAAGCCACCCGCACAGCACACTGAAAGCTGTGGACATGACCGAACCCCACAGCCAGTCATCCTGAGGGTCAATCCCACCCACTGACGTGCCAATAGCAATCAATCAAGACTCAACTATAAAAAGAACGCACACACAACCCACACAAGGAACACTCCTGGAGCACCCAGAACCGGTGACGAGGGAGACTGTGCCCCTGAGCCTCACAGGGGACCTACTACATAAGGCCACCCAGCAAGAGTAGGAGACATAGCAGATCTATCTAATACATAGAAACAAAGAGAGAGGCAGCCAAAGTGAGGAAACTCATCCCAAAGTGAGGAAATACATCCCAAAGTGAGGAAATACATCCCAAATGAAAGAACATGAGAAAACTACAGAAAAAGAACTAAACAAAATGGAGGCAAGCAACTTAGCAGATGCAGAGTTCACAACACTGGTTATAAGGATGTTCAAGGAACTTAGAACTTCAACAAAGAGATAGCAAGCATAAAAGAGGATATATAAACCATTTTTGAAAAGTCAGAAATAAAGAATACAATAACTGAAATGAAGAATGTGCTAGAAGGAATCAGCAGCAGATGAGATGAAGCAGAGGATCACATCAGCAATTTGGAAGACAAGGTAGCAGGAAACACCCAATTTGAACAGCAAAAGGAAAAGACAATTAAAAAATGAGGATAGTTTAAGAGACCTCTGGGGCAACATCAAGCATAACAACATTTGCATCACAGGAGTACCAGAAGGAGAAGAGCGTGAGCAAAAAATTGAAAACATATTTGAGGACATAATGATGGAAAAGTATCCTAACTTGGAGAAAGAAATAGACATAAAACCTCATGAAGCACAGAGAATGCCAAACAAAAAGGAACCAAAGAGGTCCATATCAAGACACATTACAATTAAAATGGCAAAGGTTAAAGACAAAGAGAGAATCCTAAAGCAGCAAGAGAAAGGCAGTTAGTTACCTACGAGGGAACTCTCATAAGATTGTCAGCTGAGTCTTGATTGATTGCTATTGGCACGTCAGTGGGTGGGATTTACCCTCAGGATGACTGGCTGTGGGGTTTGGTCATGTCCAAAAATTTGCACGCCAGAAGGGACCCGGATGAAATATTCAAAGTGATAAAAAACAAGGACCTGAAACCAAGAGTACTCTACCCAGCAAGGCTATCATTTAAAATTGAAGAGCTTTTCAGACAAGAAAAACCTAAAGGAGTTCATCACCACCGAACCAATATTAGAAGGAATGGTGGTAGAGGAACTTTTTAAATATCAAAAATAAGAAAAATTTAAAAATATAAATAATAAAGCAGCAATGCCTACATATCTATCGACAATTATGTTCACTGTAAATGGATTAAATGCTCCAATAAAAAAACATAGGGTGCCTAAATGGATAAGAAAACAAAACCCTTACATTTGCTGCCTAAAAAACACTTGCTTCAGACTGAAAGACACACAGAGACTGAAAGTAAAGGGATGGAAAAGTTATTTCATGAAAACAGAAATGAAAAACAAAAAAGCTGCAGTAGCAATACATATATCAGTCAAAATAGACTAAAACAGAGGCTATAACAGAGACAAAGAAGGACCCAGTAACCCCACTTCAGGGTATTTATCTGAAGAAACCCAAAGTGGTACTTTGAGGGGACATGTGCATCCATATG